TTGGCTCCTCGGTTGGCTCAACTATATTTTTCAGTAGATGAACAAACGTCACAACTATGCTTTAGTTGATTCAAGAAAACTATTGTTAGGAAAGCAAAATTTTACAATGTTTATTAAACGAACTGCTCTTCATTATCGACATATTAAGGAAGTTTGTTTTGCTTCTTTATCGATCGCACACAACTGCAAAATCATAAAAAAGTTAACAAGAACATTCAGCTTTGATTTGAACCGTGTTCATCTGCGTGAGAGCCAGCTATCTTATCGCCTGCTCTACGCATCACAAGTTAAAAGTATGTGGATTTATGATGATCACTTGAAACCAAATTATATAAATAAATTACATTTAACGGTTGTTATAATTGATCAAAGCTATAGTTGAATTGAGTATAAGACGAACAGTTGAATCTATTAGGTAGATATGATTGAGTTGACGGTCAAATTAATGTTGGAATAACTATAGGTTTCTTTCAAACAACAATATTTTTCCATGTGAAAGTAACTATTAGGATTGTTATCTTAACTTAACGAATTTGTTCTCCGTGATTGGTCCCAAGCAAACGATTAACGTACCCCATTCTAGTCAAAATTCTAGTACTACGCAATGTTTGTTTTGATTCGTTATGAAAGTTTTACAGATAAAATGAGGGGTTAGTGGATTTTCCTATGTTTCGAGGAGTGAATCGATTAGCTTGAGACCGAAGAGAGTACCAGAGCTGAGCCAGAAAGTTGAGCACGTTATTTCGGGACCTCCTGGTCTTAGGTAGAGTCGGTGTATAATGAGTCACGCCAAGAGAAAAGCAGTTGAACTCGCATCACGGTTTTCGAAAGATTCCCTTTCTTTTAACTTGGCAACAGAGGACTTCTGCATCAACTTCAAATGACTTTTAGCGAGGAAAAAAATAACGGCTGTAGTATATCATTATATCAGTGATTTTGTGGAATTATCTTAAGGAAAAATAGTAGAAATTGTCATTACTGATCATTACAAAACGTATCGCATGACAAATGTAATGCTCACTGCGTGTATATGATGATTTCTTCGGTTATATTTAATTGCAATACCTTTTGTGGACCTTTCATAGCATTGTAATGCTTGTTTACTTTGCAGGATAGGTAGCCGGTTTGACAGTTCAATAGGTAGACTTGGCTTCACTCTTGGTGTGACTCATTATACACCGACTCTAGTCTGAGGCTGTGTTCCATTTGGTGAATTTTTCACTTAAATTTGATACTTCGAAAATAAATTAAGATGTTCGAAAAATCCCTCTGTTGTTGATCTTCCTATTTTCGAGAAGGTGTCAATTTTGACAAACACCTTCTCGAAAATAGGTCGACCATGGTCTGTAAGAAATAAGTCTGGTACAATAGCAAGTTTATTTGAAAATTTTCCATCTGTCAAATATAAGTGAAAATTCACCAGCCTAAAAAAGGGGAATTTTTTTTCTAAGATTATTATTTTCTTATTTTCCAGCGAGAGTATCCTCAATCATAACAAAATGTCGCACAATCGGAAGGATATATGTTTTGGGTCGGAATCGGCCTGCTTACGTATTAACCCTAGATGGCAATAGGATACGGATTGAAAACAAATTGTATAAACAAGGATGATTGCAGAATCCAGCTCCAATTGCAGCATTGATGTACGGTGACAACGACAACCCGGTACAGAACGATCCCGCCATTCTGCAGATACAACTGTAACCGCAGCAGTTTCTCCAGCAGAACCACTCCATTCTATGGACTGAACGATCTCGGAGATTCGATTGACTGTGGCTGGTGGCATCAGTGGATCTTGTATTAGCAACATGAAGAAGGATGCTGCTAACATAATTATGAAGGTAACCACACCAGAGGTAACGGAGCCCTCGACGAAGCCAGTCTAAATCGCGGTATTTATAGACGCGATCGGAACCGCCAACAGGGGATACGTAAAATTCCGGCAAAACCAAGGAAGGATGAAAGTTATGACGAAACAACAAGCAAATACAAAGAGAAGGTAGTAATCAAACATTGGCAACCGGTATCTAGATCCTGGACCAGGATTTGCATGCTGCTGGAAATTATTTCATGAACGATGAGGATAAACAGATTAAAAGTAAAAAGTTGAGAGCCATAGAAAAAGAAGAGCTCGTTTAACCATCCATGAGAACTTGGCAATATTAACAACTGCAGGGTTGCCAAACTCATGGGATACTGAGATCGACAACTTGATTGCCACACTTCGGCACACTCGGCCCAACGCTTGCCTCAGCTTTCGGCACAGATAAAGTTCTCGGTACAGATTGAGGTGTGCAGAGTTGAATACCCCTTGGTCCTGCCCGTGTTTTTTTAGTCAGAGGAGAGGAGTGACGGGCAAGCGTCTAGAATAATTTTATAAAAAAGAAGCTTGCCCGTCACTCCTCTCATCTGACTAAAAAAACACGGACAGCACAATAAAACGGCTAACTGAAAGGGGGCTTTGACTTTTTAAACAGCAACTGTCAAAATAAGTTGCCGACTGACCAATAGAGATTGCTAAAGTATGATTGTGTCAGTGATTTGTTTTCATCGGGAAAATTTTCCGCTATGAAGTTTTTTTTCCAGATGAAAACATTTTGCGTAAACGTATACGTAACGTAGTGTGCGTACGATAAATTGTTGTTGTTGGTAGTGGTTTACATTTGGCTACGGTAAGTTGGAATTTTTAAAATTTTCAAATGGTCGCTTTCAGTTAGCGAAGGTTTAGTGTACTTTGAAATGCTTTAATTCAGTACTTCTGCTTGCATTTTAACTCCGATGCACCGGTCCTGGGTATTAACTGGGTATCGCGTAGACGTAAAATTCGTATTCCAGATGAACCATCGAAGTTACGCAAACCCACCCTAAACATCTCAACGATCCCAGAAGTTTATTCGATATGCATTAGACTGATGCAAAAATTTGACTTTTTCGCTCCACATGGTTTCAAATCTGGTCCTGATTAGTCTCACAAAGTTACAACTTATTTGGTTAGAAACATACTTCGCACAAGCCATTTGAAGTTTACATGTAAATTACTATGGGAAATCTCAACTTTTTGATCATTGCCTTCTAGTCTTTTTCCATATTGAGCTGCGAAACAGTTTGATAGCCATTCTTATAGAAAATTTTACAGCTAGAACTTTGCTGAAGATCGTTTCTATGTAAAACGATTAATTATTTAAGAGATTGGTAAACTTATGACATGATCAAGCAGCTGCTCTGTAGGCAACACTGTATTTTGCAGTGTGACATAGTATAGCCATGATTTTTATGTCCTATTCAACGCCCCAGAAACACCAATGTTACCTGCTGAGCAGTTGATTAAGCATGATCATAAGACATCAGTGCATTAAACCATTGCTAACTTTCATTCCTTGCATTTCAGGCATAACATTTGATAACGGCACAAAAGCATTTGTAAACAAACTTTCTAAGGCCCTTTGCACGCGAACAAAGTACATCAACGCAAACCAACAACATCATCGGATAGGGGCAACTATCACCTTTCCGAAAGTGGTATTGGTTTGCGTGGGCGAACTTTGGTTCACGTGTAAAGGGCCTTAGAAAGTTTGTTTACAAATGCTTTTGTGCCGTTAACAAATGTTATGCCTGATTTAATTTAATTTAATTGGTCTTCAGCAAAGTTGTAGCTGGGAAAATTTCCTACAAGTAAAGTTGAAAGCTTTTGAAGCAGACCGATATGGTGAATTATTAGATAGATATGAACAAAAATCTTGCTTTTACCATAGTAATTCCCATACAAACTTCAAATGCGTTGTGCCATCTCAGTTTCTCACCAAATTGGTTCAAATTTTGAGAGGTTAGTCAGGACCCAATTTGGAATCGTTTAAGTATTGTGGAGCGAAAATTTCAAATTTTGCATCACTCGAATATGCATGTTCTAAATGTCATCGAGGACTCGTCTAAAAATATCCAGATCCGTATTGAATATACCTTAAAATACACCCCCCCCCCCCCCTCCCCCCTCACGGAAGGGCCATTTCTTTCATAATCAGAATCAACCTAGTCGAATTTTTATATTGTTTCTAAAACAATAATTTAATAGATCTCATAAGTTTAAGCTGTTGCATATTACAAAATTGCAAGGAATCACCTGTTGTTTCGATTCCGCAAACAAACGGGCTGGTGGTCGAATACGATCGATCGAGATGTTACAGTAGATGTAGCGGATTTCGGTGAACTGCAGCACTTCACTCTCCACTGGGTGATAAGGGTGACACTAACTTGTTCTTTGCTGCTGCACTAACGACGAGCTAAACACTGTTGCTAGTTTAAATGATATTCTTTTCCCATTTATTTTAAAATCGTTCTCTTGATTTCCATCGAGCGGAAGATTGCCGTCGAAAAAAATCTCCCGCCTCACTCGCTCGCTCTTATCCATGTAGGTTATCGTTTTTTTAGGTAATGGTATTTTACAAACTTAGTTTAGAAGTTGATCGGCTTGCCGAAGCTGGCAGCCGTGTGGGCCTCTCGTAGCGCTTCCGCACAGGTTGGATGGGCATGGCAGACACGGGCAACATCCTCTGCCGACGCACCGTACTCCATGGCGAGAACAGACTCGTTGATCAGCTCTCCAGCGGCCTACGAAAAATAAAGGGGCATTAAAATCACACCTTTTTCAATATAGGAATGTTTCCAATACTCACAGGTCCAATGATGTGCACGCCGAGCACGCGATCAGTTTGCTTATCGGCCAGCACCTTAACGAAGCCATCGGTTTCGTTGTTGGTCTTGGCGCGGGAGTTGGCCATGAAGGGGAATTTACCGACGTTGTAGGCGACACCTTCGTTCTTCAGTTCCTCCTCGTTCTTACCGACCCATGCAACTTCCGGGTGAGTGTACACCACACTTGGAACGCAGTTATAATCGATGTGGACATGTCCTCCCTGCATACCTTCCACGCACACGATTCCCTCGTCCTCGGCCTTGTGGGCCAACATGGGACCGTGGATGCAATCTCCGATAGCGTAGATGCTGGGCACAATAGTCTGGAAAGCGCTGTTTACTGGGACACGGCCTCGGTCATCCTTGACGATGCTAACATTCTCCAGACCGAGACCTTCGGTGTATGGGCGACGTCCAACGGAAACCAGCAGGACATCGAATTCCAGATCTTGCTTGCTACCATCCTTGACGTTCTCAACGCTTACGGTGACTCCGCCGCCTGTTTTGGAGGCAGTCATCACCTTCGTGCCCAGCAAGAATTTGAAGCCCTGCTTAACGAGTATCTTCTGGAAAGACTTGGAAACTTCCAGATCGATACCGGCTCCGCCGATAGTGGGCAAAAATTCGATAGCCGTAACTTCGGATCCCAAACGACTCCACACTGATCCCAACTCCAAACCGATGACACCAGCTCCGATCAGACCCAATCGCTTGGGGACTTCCTTCAGCTTCAATGCTCCCGTCGACGAAACAATCGTCTCCTCATCGATTTCGATACCCGGGAACGGGGTGACCTCCGAACCGGTGGCGATCATGATGTGCTTCGCGTTGACAACCTCTTCGCTGCCGTCAGCCTTCTTGGCAACGACCGTGTTCGGTCCGGTGATGGTGCCGAATCCGTTGATGTGGGTAATCTGGTTCTTCTTGAACAGCTGAGCGATACCTCCGGTCAGCGATTTGACGGCTTTGTTCTTCTGGTCCATCAGGACGCCCAAGTCCAAGCGGACGTTGTCGACAAGGATGCCACGGGAGTTCAGGTCGCCCGAGTGGGCCATGTGGTAGTAGTGTGAGTTGTTCAGCAGGGCCTTCGATGGGATGCAACCGACGTTCAGGCAGGTACCGCCGAGGGTGTCGTTCTTCTCGATGCAGACGGTCTGGAGATAGATGGGGAAACAAGTGAGATGAAAATGTGTGCGCACAAAAGCTCTGTGTAACTTAGTTTTTTTTATGATAATTGAGTAATATTTTCGTGAGAGAAAAAGAGATAACAATACAATTTTACTCAGTCACTGAGTTAGATTGAACGGTAGCACGGTAAAATCCGATTAAGGTTCAATTTACTTTGATGTTTTTTTGAAAAATTCAAGAGCAGTTTTTTTCGACGCATTAGTTCAGATTGCTAAATGCTCGCACTATTCGATTCCGTTTGCTATTCTACACAAAATGACGCAAGCTTTTAGAAATCGGAAATAATACGTCGAAAAAAACTGCTTTTGAATTTTTCGAAAATGCATCAAAGTAAATTGAACCTTAAGTGTTATACTGTCTGAACAAGTTTTTAGAGTTTTTAAGTCAACACAAAAACACAACACAACACACCGACGCTAGTAATTTAATTTCAAATTTTCCAAAACTCTTTAAATCGCTCAGAACTTCCACGAACTTGACAGGAGCTCACTGAACACTACGGGAAGTTGATTGCGATTGTCTGAAGCTCGTTGGACACCTACTATGTTCCATGAACCCCTCCGAAATCTTCTGAACAGCTCTGGTCTGTTAGTCAAGCTTATGATCCATGAAGTCTCCTGATCAAACCATTCAAAAGTTTTCCAAGCTTCACCGCTTCTTCATTCTGATCATCTCAGAAGTTCTATGTGATGTTAAGATAAGCGCTGAGCGCGTTTCGATATTTTCTCGAGCTTCCTGGACATATAGTATCATTGTGCTTGCCATACAATATACAATTCCATGCATTGGTTTGCAAAGAAAACTCTCAATTAATAACTGTGGAGCTGTATCTATAGCACTAAGTTGCGAGCTGGTAAAACACTCACAACAGAAAACTAGAAAGCCTAAAGAAGCAGAAGACCTAAAAGTTTCAGGAATTGAATAGGAATTCAGATAACTTCATAAAAATTAAAGAAATTTTTTAGAAGTGCAGCAAATTTAGCAGAAGTTCAGCTTTCTTCATGGAAGCTCAGCGAATTGTGTGGAAATGCAGCGCAATTCATAGAACTTCCTAAATGTTGTAAAGATTGAAAACGAAAAAGTCCGGACGGATTAAAAACGCTACCATTAAGGCATTTCTTAAGTATTTTTTTTTAATTTCACTGAATCAAGCTAAAAGTGTATAGAATTACAGTAGGCATAGGCATTGGTTGTCAGGAGAGATTCATTTGTTTACATTATGGCTTCACCGGAGCACCGAAGTTTTCGATCAAATTTCTGGGCAGAAATACCTCGGTTGACCGGAAGAGTTCTCCGGAAGAATTTAAAATTAAAAAGAAGTCGAAATTCCCCAAAAAGTTTCTTGTCTAACAAGCAATCTGCAGTTGTGGGCTGAAAAGCGAAATTTTCGTTACTTCTGAGAATGAATAAGCAAAAGGTAAAAGGAGTGCCTACGGAAGAGACTACTGCCTTTTCTGGAGCAACATGAGGTAGATTGCTATTCTAGCCGGACTTGGCAAGCTGCCACGACTCAAATTCCACCAGAAACTGGTACAGCGCAAATGGCGTCACAGTTGTTCCCAAGGAGATGAATCCGGCCAATACTCCGGAAATAAGGCCAATTGAGGTTAATGGGAAGCACATACTGAAGTAAGAAGGTGGAACTGCAATTGACATGAAGAATTTAAAGCGGAAATGGAGTTCGGCATCCAAACAAGTATTAGCAGGGTTCGAGAAAAAGATGATAGGCCGTGTACGAAGAAAAGTTTGAGCAATGACATATGGTAAGAAGGAAGAGTGAAACAATGGTCTTACAATAAGCATAATACCTACTAATGTATAGCTGTAACATTGAACTATGAAAAATAAAACGCATTATTAAACCCCAACAATATTTTCGTGTACGGATTTTTTCGTGTTCAACCTTTAGAAGTCAAGCAAACTTTGAAGAAGTTCAGTGAATTTTGTAAAACTTCATCGACCTTTGTAGAAATTTAGCTAGCTTTAGAGAAATCCAGTGAATTTTGTAGTAATTCAGGGAACTTCGTTGAAATACTAGAATTTTTCTTTATCTTTCAGCTCCAGGAACTTTGTGCGGAAAATTCAGGAAACTTCGTAAAAGTGGGAACATTGTATAAGTTTGATGAACTATGTAGAAGTTAAGGGAACAAAACTTAAATTTAAGGATCCTCATAAAAACTCGAGGACTTACTTTTAATTTCAACGCACTTTATTGAAGTTAAATGAATATTAAATAGTTCAGGGAATGTCGTACAAGTTCATAGAACTTCGTTGAACTTCTGGGCATTTCGAGAAAATCAACGAGAATCTTAGAACTTCGTATCAGTTTGGAGAGCTTCATAGCTGTTTGTTAAAGATTTTACTTCACAAAAACTTCAATAAACTTACTTCGGTCAATTTCAAGGAACTTCCCAAGGGGTGCGAAAGCTTTACTGCTGAGCTGCTTTTTTTGAAGCGAGTAACTCACGAGTAACTCAGGCTCTGAACCATTTGGTGGATTATTTTAACTTTTGGTTAAAATTTGACAGATGAAAAGTTATTGATTAACCCTGCTATCCGAGCATGGTTATTTCTGACAGACAAGAAGTTAAATTTTGACAACCGTGGCTCGAAAACCGGTCGATAGACAGCACGGGGATTTTCGAACATAGAAAATAACTTTCGAAATGTCACTTTTAACCACGAGTTAAATTTAACTCGGCAAATGGTTCACAGCCTCAATGTACCTCAAAATTCAATCGACGTTCATCGAATTTCTCTCTCTGCTTACTCCGTTTACTCTCTTTGAAAAGATTTATCTCATATTAGACGCCAGTTTTGTTTGTAAACATAGGCTGTGAACCATTTGCCGAGTTAAATTTAACTCGTGGTGAAAAGTGACATTTCGAAAGTTATTTTCTATGTTCGAAAATCCCTGTGCTGTCGATCGACCGGTTTTCGAGAAGAACTTAGCCAAGGTTGTCAAAATTTAACTTCTTGTCTGTCAGAAGTAACCAAGCTCGGATAGCAGGGTTAATCGATAACTTTCCATCTGTCAAATTTTAACCAAAAGTTAAAATAATCCATCAAATGGCTCAGAGCCATAGTAAGATTGTTCAGATCTGCTATTCAAACATTGTGAATTCCAGTACCACTTGGATCAAAAGGAATTTATCCGGAAAACGGCTTGAACTATGCTAAGGAAGATTCCAAATGGGGCCTCCGTCACCAGCTGCTGTAACTGTTTTGGAAGTGATTTTTATTCGTACTCTTCCGTCTCGAAAAGATGGATGTGAATTAACTGAAGGTAGGTGGAAACAGGCTACTTAAGCTGAACATTGCATTAGGTCCTAAGTAACATTGATCGATTCTCTTCGTCGACTTTATCTTTCGTTAATAACTTGAGCACAGAACCGTTTCTTGATGTGTTTGTCATATTAGATGCTAGCTTCTTTTATCGATCTGTGGGCTGAAAATACCTGGGATTGTCTTTACATGACCGTGTGGATGCAAAGAGAAAGTCGACGAAGAGAATCTGTCAATGTTACTTAGGACTTAATGCAATGTTCAGCTTGACAGCTCATAAAATAACCACAGGAATCGTTTTCAGATGTCCACCGAGGAGAACGTGAAATCACCGGTATAGAAGCCAGAGTATCCAGAGCAGGCGCCACTGCCGAAGCCTGGGAGTACGATCATTGATCGTCGTCCGAACTTCAATCCCATCATTGATCTACTGGAGGAAATCGAATCCTGCATATGGTTCAGAAAGAGTGGAAGGAAAGAGGCCATCCCAACTAACAATTTTAGCTGCAGATTAGCTTATACAGCCAAAAAATGGCTTATACGGCTAATATTTGCCTGTATAAGCTAGTCTGCAGCTAAAATTGTTTGTTGGGATGGCGATCTGAAGATTTTCAATAGGTAATCTGATCTGACCAAGTACAGGATCATCGCTATGGACTTTGCTGACGAGAAACCGAAGAAAGAAACATTCTCCGGATATAATAGGGGAAATGACGGCTTCGGCATGACAGACTATTTTCGGCAACCCAAACTTAAACACTATTTTCATTGGATTTTCTTACGAAAACACTTCGCTGAATGCATGCAAACGATTCTTTATGCTTTCAGCTTCAATTTGACTATATTTTTACCACTGAGAAAAAGCAATCTAGCAAGGTTTTCTTGAAATGAAACACACGCACTACAAATTGTAGCTGATTTCGAGTTGCAGATAATAGAACAGCAGATTTACATGCAGTTCAAATGGAACGGTTGCCGAAGAAAAACTGGTTGCCGACAATACTCGCTCTCACTAGAGAAGATTGGAGCTTTGTAAAAGCGTTTCAAAACAGTTTTTGACAATTCTTTCGACTGAAATTGTTAGAGCAGCTGGCAGCAAAAGATTGTAAACAAACCAATACTGCATATGTGTGCGTTCCTTAGAGAAAAAGGCTATAGAAAGAAGGTCGCTGCTTAGGTTGCCGAGAATACGTAAATTCCCCTACATAATTAAACTAGCGAAAAAAATGTTTTTTTCTTTTTTTTCTGAAAGAAATATTCACGCACACGGCGAATGAGAACGACTCAAATTTGAGTTTAGTTCACTCATAATCGCCAAAAGTGCAGGAACTCAGCGATGAGTAAATTTGCCTCATGTTTTCCCAGGTTTTTCCAGGGAAAAATTCCCGAATTTGAGAAAAGTAAAGATTGGATTCACTCACTCTATTGATACTACTCCGAGACTGAATAAAATTTTCGTCAATTTCCTCATTTTCCGGTAGATTTTTTAGGTTTACCACAGGAAACCATGAGACAAATTTTACTCATCGCTGAGTTCCTGCACTTTTGGCGATTATGAGTGAACTAAACTCAAATTTGAGTCGTTCTCATTCGCCGTGCAGAAATATAGACTTCCGTCAACAAGCCGCAGAAGAATCTTGGTGGTGTATCGCACCTTACCACGATTACCCAGAGCCAGAAG